ACACACACACACACACACACACACACACACACACACACACACACACACACACATATACTATTATCCCAGATACTCATTTAGTGTAAGGCAGCGTTGGTTAAAGTGTTTGTGTGTAAAGTGAAACTATATAAAGAGATTCATATTCCAGCACTGCACAGAGTTCCCTCCCATTTTTTGATAGGCATCAGTCTAGAGACACCATGTGATGATTTACCACCTGATCCCTCAGTATGTGAAGATAGTTGGTATCAGATGAATCTTACAACAATTTGGCTGAGACCCAATCTACATTTTTTGAGGAGGTGTGCACCTTTCATTAGCTTTCATGTATTGAGCAAAGATGTGAAATCTTCAGTTTCATTTCTTTCAACTAAAAACTGATCTATCAAATTCTGATAAACTGCATGAATATTTCATTAAGGCCCCGTCCACACAGAGTTTTTGCAAAGATAATCTATTACTTAGGCTCTATTTAACATGGATGGGTCATTTTTGGAGGCCATAAAATATATATTTTTAAAACCAGCTCCCTCAGTGGGAAACTCTTAAAATGCTGTTTTTTTTTAGTGGTTTTACCCCAGCGACACCAATGGGCCCAGCATATGTAATACAGCTTTCTCAGTGATGCTGTTTGCACTTTTATGGGTGCAATTTGATTCTACTGCATTTATGAAAATATACCGCAATCTTCTTCATGTAGACTAGATCTAAACCTTTTAATCAATGTCCTGATTTTCTTGTTTAAAAAAAAATGAGTTAAAAAAAGTAATTATAATCATGCATGCTAACCATGTCCAGCTTTCCGTCATGAGCTGTGAGAGAAGACATGGCGTACGTAGACATAGTGCAGGCAGCCAGGGAGTAGTAGGTGTTCATGGCTGTACGGTGCTGGGGGTCTCCATGTTCTGTGATGGCAGAGTTGAAGCTGGGCCAGAACATCCACAGGTAGATGGTACCTGTATTTACAGTGAAATGGAAAGTCAGTCTTTAACAATCTAGCAGCAGTAGTGTACATTTAAAAAAAACTGAACTTAAGATATCTGTAAAGATACTGTATGCTGTATTCAGTTTATTTATATAGCACCAATTCATGACACAAAAGACACTTTAAAGAGACAATTCAACCAGATCATAAAGTCAGATTGCGTTGACTCTACAGCAATCCCTCAAACCAAGCATGCTTGTAGCGACAGTGGAGAGAAAAGGCTCCCTTTTAACAGGAAGAGACCAAGAGAACCAGGCTCAGTGTGAGCGGCCATCTGCCGAGGCCAACTTTTTTTAATCAGTCATCATGATTATAAGTTAAATAAGAAAAAGAAGAAGTTAAGAAGCATTATCGCTTAAGATTTAGAGTACATTTTCACATGTTTTTCAAATCTATGTGCCAAGATGATGGTGTGCTCACTTGCAAAAACGAGTTAAAAAAAAAATCTGTCATACTGAAAGGAGACATTTAAATTAATCTTTAAAGTAATGCCCTATGATTGGTAGCTCTTAACATAAGTGACAGTGTCGTCCTGTCAGAATACCTCACAGCGATCACACCCTGGCTACTTGGCCACAGGCATATCCCTTTGGATAAGAACGTGTGACCTTTGCCTTGGAGTCTGTCGGATCAAATCCCACCCGGACCCTCTGTTACATACCACACACATAATCTAAACCATTGCATTACATTCTCTACCCTACTTGACGTTGAACTTGCCCCACCTTCTCATGCTTTTTGCAGTCTTTAAAAGATGTATTTATTCCTCCTTTCCATTAAATTTAGAAACCTTCCCTGTTCCTCCAGAAGATAAGCATCCCCACAAGTCCCAGCATGCTGGTGCTTTGTTCTGGCATCTTTAGTGTTTTGCATGTTTGCCATAAACATGGAAAAAAAAGTTTGATCTATTATAGTATAAATCTCACCTAACCTGAACATCCTGTATCAGATATCTGTCTCTCCAGCCTGACTTCAAAGATTCTCCCACATGAGCTCTGTATCTCTGCAACTCTATCCAGTGATACCGTGCATTTCAGATAGAAGCTCTTTTTATACAGTCTTTCATCTTAGTCTGACTTCCTTGTCTTGGGAGGGATTGCTGCAGAGTCAACCACATTATGCAGGCGAATCTCTAAGAAGCTACATGCTCATCCAGGAGGAGCAAATTTTGCAATGTTAAGGACTCAATGCAATCTGCGGTGTTTCCTTAGACACAAAACTTTGGGGAATCTTTTAATAACCTAATCCTGCTTCAAAACCCCTCAGAGCTTTCTCACCGACCTATCCACCACATTCCTGGGTCTCTATGCTGTTTAATAAGTGATGTTCTATAATAAACACAACACCTGGATTATTCTAAATGAAAGACTTATTTACACAAACATGGGTTATATTTACTAATGCTGGATTTAAATACATGTACTATAGTGTAAATTAATTTAATCTCATGAAGACATATTTACATGCTTAGATATTGAATGATTTTTGACATTTTAACCACAAGATGTGCATCTAAGAAACTGAATGTAGGATTTATTCTCCTCACCTCCAACTCTTCTGTGTTTTATGACCAATTGTGGGTTTAATACTGCCAGGTCCCTTTAGCTGGGGAGTTTTATGACTGCATAGTTTACATCACTGAGAATATCAGATATACAGTAGGTATAGATATTCAGATATAGGGTATGTTTACAAGGATCATCCTTCCTTCACAATGATCGTGGAAAGTGAAGACAACAGAGGGATCTGGAAAGTTTACAAAGAGGAATTTCAAGTTTTTAAATTGTAAATATTGGATGCTGTGAGTCAGGTCACACTTCTGAGTTCTTTCCTTTACATCAAGCATGCTGAAAACATAGGACCTATGAAGGAAAGCATTTCCTATTGGAGTTTTAGTCGTATGAAAGTAAAGGTTGGGGGGAAAACAAGCAAATTACTCAAAGCTACTAATATAGTAATGTCCTCAAGGATTCATGGAGAAGAGAATGAAACCTATTAGATCTGAGCGCTGAAACAAGCCCTGTTGTTCTAGACAGCCTATATTTACAAAGCATGTCACAACCGTTTGGCACCACGCCTCAACTTATACCCACAGGTAGTTTACAAAGAAAACTTTTCCTGGAAATCTTCTGTTTCGCAAGAATTACCTATCATAGCAAACATGTCAGAGTGGTAGACAGACGAGTTCTTGTGTTTGCTCTTGTCAAGGTTGGGTCGGTATAAGACTCTGGTCACCATCAGGCCAAAGTAGGCTCCAAATGTGTGGATGGTCATGGAGCCTCCAGCGTCTCTAGTCTAAAAGAAGGTACAAGGGTTGGTTTAAATCCTCGAGTGCATCAGCTGAGTAATTAATACATTTTAATTAAGAAGTATTTATTACAAAGGCATTAAAGTCATAAAAGTTATCAAAGAAGAATCTTTAGTAGTTTGGTTTATGGTGACTTACTAATAGAAGGCTGAGTAAGATAAACTCATTGACAGCAAACAGCGTGACCTCGAAAATGGCCATAATCAGCAGCTGGATTGGGCTGGTTTTACCCAAAACTGCTCCGAAGGAAATCAGCACAGAGCCGGTGCAGAAATCCGCATTAATCATACTGCAAAACAACAAAAACTGAGATTAGAATGGAAAAACAAGCAAAGTCAGCTTTCTCTCAAAGTCAGTTTTTCTCTTACGTCTCTTAATCAGCCGATGTTGGATGACACAACCCTCATAGAACATGTCCCTACATGCGCAATGTTAAAGTTAAATAAATGCTTTTGGCAGTATAGGTTTTGCTTAACTTTCTTCAGAGAAACAAAGGTCTAGCTGTCTGTGTTAGTTAATAGATTTTACAATATTGCAATAAAGTTCTTTAAGGTAATGCGTCTTTTATGTTATCATGTATTGTAAAAGATGAAACACAGTTAGTGTCCCTTGAAAGGAATCATGTAAAGTTGGTTATAATGCCATATCCTCTGGAAAAATTATTACTTAGACTTTAGTTGAATTACAAAAAGAAAATGACTTTATGTTCATGTAAGTCACCTTTAGGAATTAAAAGGAACCTTTATGAAACACAGGTTGGATGCACATTTCCAAAGGTGGTGGCTGCAAGTTTAACTCCTCCAGGCCAATAAGTGGCTTACTCACCCTTTGCCGTTCCGTACTGCTCACCCGTCATTGTTCAAATCTAATAACTTTCAGGTTCAGAGGAAAATCAGTACGCTAGGCGTGGCGTCTACACACCTTCCTCAAATCTGCACCGACACTCGAAAGCTTGACCTATGTACACCCACCTTTTCCTCTTTTTCTGTTTTTGCTTTTATGGCTTGAATATGAAAAAATAAAAGTTGGGAAGAAAGCTACTAGGATCTGGGAACCCCTGAGCTCTGTCTTACGTGACTTAATACATCATTATTGCTGCAGAACCTTTGCGTGTCGACATTGACATCGTACAACTTATTCTCCAACACTGTAGGCACCATTCATGGAGGTATCACTTTTGATAATTGTTTCGGTTTATAAGTTGTACCTATGATCTGTAATCATTAGGTTTAATTTAATCATCTAATATTTTCTACCTTTCAACCCCAATGGCGATCTTCCCATTATGCAGGCCATGGAAGAAGCCTTGCATGAGAGTGGCCCACTGCAGAGAAAAGGCTGCAATAAGAAAATTGAAGCCCACACTGCTGAAGCCGTAGCGTTGAAGGAAGGTCATGAGGAAACCAAAGCCGATGAAAATCATGACATGCACATCCTGGAAACCTGCAAAAGATGGGAAAACATGGGGATGAAGTTAATGTGGACTCACTGCCTTGTTAGATGCATGTTTTGGTCAAAATATGGTCTCATACACTCTGCTGCAAGTGCAAAAAGGTCTTTATATAAGTTTCATTCATCACTGTTGAGCTGTCAGATACTTGGCTCATCACCAACCTGCATCAACAGACCTGCATTTACCATCTAATTACTGACAGTTGATCTTATTAACTTAGGCTTCCTGAAAAGTCAGGTTCAGTTGTAACTTGCATGATGGTACATGACTCATTTGTTTAAACCTTTAAACTTTGAGTTATAACTTACATAAATTCAGAAAATAAATCTAGATTAGAGTCTGAAATGGTCAATGACCCATTTTAAAAATGAACTCTGTTAACCTTTTCCATGACATTGTCTCCTGCCCTGATTCACACAGTTTGAGAACATTGCTCTTATTTGTTTCAAACTGCTATTCATAACATTGCTCTCTGCTGTAGGTGCCGTCGTTGTGGTAACTGTTAATTGGCTTAACCAAGCAGAGATCTTGCCAGCTTCCCTGTTGGTATTTTGGCCTCGATTCACACAGTTCCCAGTGGCCTGGACGGACACTTTCATATCAATGGAATAAGAAGCGCTGTTGGCTGGGAATCCTGTAAGCCAAAAGAAAAGTTCTAAACTGCGTTTTTTCCCACTGACATAATTTTAAAACGTTAAGATTTTCCTCTTTTTTTTTTTTCTTTGATCATACCTGCTCAATAAATGGAAATCTAGATGAGAGATTTGAAATCAATTTGCTGATGCCACTTGGGCCGAAGCACAAATTAAGATAAAATATTTTATTAATCTCTTACCGACTACTATAAGCTTATCTTATTTAAAGAAACGGAGCGTTTTTCTGTTCAAGTTATGAAAATGCATAACTAAATCTAAACCAAAGCCAGTTTATTCATATTCTACACATACTGTAACGTGTACTGAGTTAAAAGAGTTCCTATTAAATTTTTTTTATATAATCATATATTGATTATTAATTATGAGAGCTGGGGGTTAAGCATACATAAATTACAGCACATGACTTGTCCACCAGTTAGCTCATGTTTAGTGTTGCCTTCCAATTCAGTAAGATTGAGCCAGAGTCCTTTTCCAGTTATTTTTACATATGAAGTGAAAAACTAAAGAAAACTCACAATGTGGATCATTTCTTTTGGAAAATAATATCAAAATACTCTGTTTCCTGGCATTTTTTTATTTTTTTAAACACAGTATGTTACCAACATAGGTATGCCAGCTTCGTCCAAAAACATGACTGTTAGGTTAATTGGCTTCTCTAAATTCTACTTAGGTGTGTGTACAGTATGTGCATGAATGGTTTTGTTCTGTTTGTCTCTGTGTTGCCGTGCAATGGATTGGCGACCTGTCCAGGATGGACCCCGCCTTTCGCCCGTTGACAGCTGGAGATAGGCACTAGCATCCCTAACGACCCCAGCTGGATAGGAGGGACGAAAAATGGATGGATAGATGTTATCCAATACAAGCTGGTCATACGCTCCACTTTGCTCAAAAGAAAAGTAAGTACTAGCAACACAATAAGTTATTCCCAGTTTGACAAATTACAAACCCATGTGATGAAGAACTTTTATTATTAAGTTTCTATAGCATCTCTAGAGGTCTGAGCTTTTGGAAGAAGCCAGAGTGCCCATGGGATTAAAAACATAATTTATTAAATGATGTTCTCTTTGCATTCAGAAAAGTTTGCCATGTAGTTCATTTTAGATTTTTTGTTGCAAGTATTCAGTTTTACTCTGTGTATGCTTAACTTTATACTGGTTCCTATGAATTGTTTATTCTCCTAACAGTATGCCTGCAATAGTGGTTCCAGGCTGTAGAGCATGAAAAGTGTGAACCTGTCTCTGTTTACTGTATATGATCCTTTTTCTCCCAGCATACAATAAAGATGCAGGATAGCGTCTGTGTACAAACATCCCTGAGATGTGAAGGTGAACTTCTTTCCCAGATCCTTTGACAGAGAGGTGTCAGGTTAAACACTGTTACTCCTCAAGATGCATCAGATTCAACTTTCCACCCTTATTTTCAAATTTTAGAGGTGGCACAGCAATGAAGGAAATAGTTAATTCCTCTAAGTTTTAAAACCATGTTCTTTGTGTCTCGACATCAAGTCAGTGCGACCAAAGTAAAGTGATGCAGATCTATTTGGAAAAATTCTATTAACGGCATCTTTTCCTTTTATTGCTTAATCTAAAACAGGTAATTAAGTTGAGTAAGGATGTGTGTGTTTATAGCAGAGGTCAATCAGTGGGGGAAAAAAAAGATGCAGTGTTTGCTGTCAGAGGAATGCCACATTGAAACTAAACTTTAGCAATAAGGTAATTTACTCAGAGAGCTGGCATTGGCTTGATGAAGTCATGGGCTGAGCAGAGAAACTGGTGTAAAGAAAAGTTAGGAAGAGAAATGTATTGTCTCTTTAGTTACAAAAGTTATGAAAGTGATTTAAGATCCAGGATTAGTTCAGAATGCAGCCAAAATGGTGAACAGGATCCACATTTATGACACCTCAAAGATGTTAAAACTTAAATTTGGGCTGCCTATTGGTACTTTGAGGAACGTTGGGTTTTGGTTCAGGTATAAGTGAACTAAGTATGAATACACCTAAATAACACTGAAGCTGGATTGTTCAAACATTCAAAAGTGACAAACTTTCTCATTCCTTTAGAAACTGATATCAATAAAGATAAACCCACCAGTTTTATTCTATTAAATTTTTATCAGAGATGAGACCAAATGGGTCACAAGTCTTTATCCTCAAATCCAGAGTCAAGGCAGTCAAGTCAGACACGAGTCTTCAAATAATACAGGTAATTCAAGTAATATCCAAAGTCTGAAACTTCAAATTTCCAGACCTTTCTGGTCCTTTGTTTTTAAACAAAGTAACATAAGTTAAATATCAATAACTGACAACCATTGCAACTCCACATTTCAACTGGAAATGTCAAAAAGTGGAAAAACTCAAAGACAATCAACGATTTCAGCGTTTTATTGAAATACGAAGCGTAGCCCGAGGCGCTACAGACACGGGGGGGGGGGGTGTAAACATACAGAATGATGATGGTATGATTGAGCAAAGCAAATAGCATTGATACATCATTCCCGCAACGGCCTTGCAGGGATGTTGGAATAAAGAGAGAAGGAGGAATGGGATCAGAAGATCATATGGGATGTTTTAAATGTATTATTGGTGCTCTGTTTTTTCTTTTTTTTTTTTTTTTTTTTTTTAAACAGACTTTCTAAACTTTAGATTTGGGGTTAAAAGTGCCCTGCGTTGGACTGGCCACCTGTCGAAGGTGTACCCTGCCTCTCGCCTGTAGACACCTGGAGATAGGCACCAGCACCCCTCGCAACCCCAGCAGGGGTTGACAGAAGATGGATGGATGGGTGGCGTTAAAATTAGTCTTTAATTAAAAAAGCTCACTTCCAATTCAAGTCTAGAGTCATTCATGAAAAAGTCTAAGTCAAGTAACAAGTTAGACCATTTTTTTCCAAGTTAACTCTACAGTCATTAAATGAATTAATCTAGTCCAAGTAATATGACTAGATTTTCCACCTCTGCTTCTCATGTTAAGTTTCTCTTGCATGGATTTAAAACTGAGATCTCGTAATTACATCAAACCTCTTTCCCTTTTGATACGCATTTGATAAACTAGCTGATATGCTCAGTGACAAAACTAAATCCTTTTACTAATACCCCTTAATGTAATGTTTCAAGTCTTCAGATAAACCATTTATCCTGCATGTAGCAATTACTCTTTTATGCAAGGTGGCCAATTGAGGTTGAGTCCAGGACTGGTGGGAATCCTGCATTCCTCAAATCAAATTTTAAATTTAGAGTGAGCCTTCAGTTAATTTAAGTTAAAACCCAGAAATTTAAATTTTTAGAAATAAACAGGCTATCATGGCGTTTCAATATTAGGGCTAAAATGGCAGTCTGTTACAAAATTCCTGCCTCTTTGATTATTCCTAGAAATCTTTTTATTTACAACAATTTTAAGTTTAAGAACCACTGGAGTAACTGATTCAAACATTTTATTGAAGATCTAATTAGACAAATGTGTTCTGGGAGGGACCACTGAAAGCTCACGCAGTTTTTAAGCATCCTGGACTGATGCTTACAAGTTTGTAGGTTAAGAGATGGACAGAGTGACTGGGTATCCTCTGAAGTAATGTTTGCTCTTTGGGGTTCTGCTAAGAAAGGATTATGATCTTCTCGGCTGATGGCTGCTCATTCCGAGCCTGGTTCTGATGGAGGTTTCTTCCTGTTAAAATGGAGGCTTTCTTCTCCACTGTCGCAACAAGCATGCTTAGTGTGAGGGATTGCATTTGAGTCAATGAGTTGATACAATCAACTGGTTTTCCTTCGATCGAAAACTTTGAATCAAATTGACTGCATGATCTGGTGGACTGTAAAGTGCCTTGAGATGACATGTGTTGTGAAGTGGTGCAATAGAAATAAACTGAATTGAATGCTGTGGCCATGAGCTAATAATAATTGGATAGGTGGAAAACCTTGCTGCTCTTGTATTCTAAGGATTTTCATTTAAGCAACACATGTCCACCTGACGATTACCTTTACATGTTGTATTATTGGACACCATTACGATGTGTGTTATCTCACACTTTTTAAACAGATTGACTGGGTTCAAACATCAACACAAATCTGTTCGATAAGTTTAGGATAAAGGAGACTTTTTCAACAAGTGGCATAAAGATAAACCAGTAGCTACTGTTTGTCTGTGTACGTTTTCACTAAACAGGAAAAAAAACATGATATTCTGCAGTATAACACTTTGGCTAAAAGTCCTTCAAGTTTCGTTATTGTAATATGATATGATAATATTATCCATAAAGTTTTGCATTTATGCATCTGAGGCCTTAAGCTGTATATTAATGTAACAACAACCTACACTTTATCCAACTTAATTGCACTTTTTGGTGCTTAATCCACTGAGCAAACAACTTTTAGCCTCCTAAAACTCACCTAAGTAATCGTTGTCACCTATTTTGCATTCCCAAATGGAAAAGCAAATAACTGAGGAACTGTAAGCCCAAATTATATGTGTGATACATCATTTAAAGGTTAAAGTAACTTCAAACTCTGATATTCAGATTCAACTTTGCTGCAAAGCAAACTTTGTAAACTTGGCTAATCAAGAGTCACATGTGATTTGTTGGCTCCAATTCAAAAGTCAATATTACAGTGACAGGCTGAGGCAGCCCTACAGTAACCTGCTACAGGAAGAATTATTACCTGTAAGATTATTATGCAAGAAGATGGCTTACCCTTTAAGCATTCCCATCATTCTTTGTTGTTTCAAAGCTCCGCCCTCTCACCTGGGTGAGATGCCTGGAGGTAAAAGCCTCTCAGATTGACAACTAGACAGCTATGTTATGTCATTTTAAAGATTGAATATTAAGCTATGGGGAAAAATTTAACTCATGATTATTCTTTTGTATTACAAAAATGAGAGATTCAAACGTGTGAATTAATATTTATCTATAAAACATATTTATACATAAGTAGAATGCTCTTACTAAATATCTTAAGCCACACTAGAAAAAAGAAACATTTGAATTATATATTTGAGTTGCTTACCAAATAAAAACAAATTCAGGTTGTATGCTCTGAGTGGAGTTGCTGAGCACTGGAAAATTAACTGAATAAAAATATTTTTCTTACAATGCCTTGCTATATAAAAAATGATGTTAAACATTAGTAGTCAACCCTTTTTTTTTGTTGTGTTCATTTTATTCTTGAATATACTTTTGGATCAGGAAATTTAAGAAAACAAAAGGTGGCCCAACAAATTCAGCATTAAAGACAGGTGCATCTTTCTCTTAAAATGGTGACCAACCACTGCCCAGCTTGGATGTGTCCCTGGTGCAGCAGATAGAATTGATATGATTGCACTTCCTGCTTACCCTGCTGTCAAGTTTGGCAGAATGATCCAAGATATCAAATCAAGGGTGTGTTATTAAGGAAACATCTGAAAACCATCAGCCACCTGAGGACCATGGAAGGGAGACTTGATCCATAAATAACAGTCCAGTTTGATTAGGAAGTGCTGATTTACCGGTACCTTAGAAAGTTGTAATGCTAACCGCTTAAACAATAAAAAAGGAGGGATTCAAATTTACTGTTAAGGAAAGGAATAAAAACTGATAGAGATGTATTTTCATCAAAAAAGATAGGCATGATAGCAAATGTCATTTAAAGCAATAGTTTCTGTGTTATTCCTGTCTACAGGCTAAAAAAAACACTTTCCCCCCTCAGATATTTGATGTATAACATTTTGCTTTTAGTGCAACTAAAATGATGCATCTATATTCCTCTGTTGAGACCAATTAGAAAACAATGTGGCCATTAGAACAGATTTAAAATGTTCAAATATTATTTCTGAATCTGCATGCATTCTGTCCCTTTGATTCTGTTGGACAGCTGTTGAACTGCAATGACACACTTAGAGCTTTTTGACCCCTGGTCCACAGGACACTTACTTGGATAGCGGTAGTAGAAGTCATTCTCATAGTCGTTATGAGCTGTTTGAGGTGTAGAGTTATGAGACGTCCCAGTAGCATGCCCACCATGGCCATGAGGGTTTGGAGTTTTCCCATTAAATAGCTTTGCATCTGTGTCATGGTCATACTCCACCAGCACACCAAAGAGGATGATGAGAATGATTTCCAGGATGAAGCAGACAATTGGCAGCTTCAGCCGCATGTTGGTAGATGAGTCTGTCATGTTTTCTTGCAGGTCAGAAGAGGATTAGAGGCTTGGAGAGGCTGGTTGTTTTTCCAGCTGGGCTATTGCTGTGTATCTCACTCAGACACCGGGGTGTCTATGGTGTCGACACTAAAAGGCTGGGGAGTTTGTGTGTGTGACCCAGCTGAAGAAAATTGCATCTGATTTTGTTGAGTTGGGTCACACCTACAGAGCAAAGCAAGGTGGAGACTCAGTTAGTCCAGCCCCTTCTGAGTTTGAACTCACCTCAGTTTGTCAAAAACTTTTTAAACAGAACAAGTTTAGAAAAGATGAGCACATTCTAGCTGGGATAAAAAAAAAACATACAAAAAATATTTAAAAAAATCCTCTTAACACATCTGGTCTACATGCAAGAGCAGTAAGATCCATCTTAAAATGAATAGCCACTGACTTAAAAAGGCATATTTCCTCATTCTATCGCATTAAAAACAAAACTTCAGTGTTGATTTAATTTTGTGATAAAACACAAAGCAGAAAGATTCAAACTGGTTAGAATCTGACCGTTGAGCCCCCCTCACTACTGATATTGATCCAATCCAGAGCGACCCCTCACCTTCACAATCACCTGATAAGTAAGTTTCTACTGATAGGTTAAGCTCCGCCTCAAACTACCCCTTACCTTGCAAGCAAGATCAATTATTGCAAGATTTCTGAATTCACAAACTCCTGAAAATACCTCTTGCCAGAAGCCAGCAGATGCATTAGCCTCTATACAGAAATATTTTGAACTAATGAAATGCAGTGACGTGTATGATGTCAAAGCACCAATCAAATACGGAAAACTGAAGAAAAAACAAATATGGCTCTGCCAGTTTTAACTGAAATGCCCTGTATTCCCTTTTAAAATGAGCAAAAGGACACGATTTGTGCCTTTGTGGATGGGAAAGATTTTTGTGCGTTCCTCCTGAACGGATCTGGAAAGAGTTTGTTTTATAGGTTAACTCCGCTAGCTGTAAAACAAATCAGGAATGTGATACATCAGCTATTGCTGCTGTGGTTGGTTAAAAGCAGAGATGGGAAGTAATGAAGTACAAATACTTCTTTACTGTACTCAAGTAGATTTTTCTGATATTTTTAC